CTGAGCCGGTGAGATTTGAACCGCTGACCTGCTGATCTAGCAGTAGCCTGCAGTGCTGCATTTAACCACTGCGCCACCTTGGCTCTTAAGCCAAGGTGTATGTGTGTGTAAGAGATAGAAATGGGTAGCCAGGGTGCAGTGTATGTGTGTGTAAGAGATAGAAATGTAAGTTTATTCATAATGGCTTTGGCAAAGCAATTTTTTTCTTCAGGGTTACATATGCTGTCATATTTATAGTTACTGTGTTGTGTTGTATCTCTGTGTCATATAATATATGTGGTTATATGCATATTTTTGTATGTATTTATTTAGTCATGTCTATGTAGTGTATGTTGGAGATAATGACCCTTTGAGAGCTGTATGTAACAAAATTTCATTTTAATGTATGCCGATTAGTGTACATTCAAAGTGACAATAACGTTATTCTAAGTCTAAGCTTATAAGGCTTTTTCTTTTCTTTTTAAGAAAAGCCTGTTTTAATAACTATCACCGGATGTACCCTATTTTCAAGAAAATAAATAAGCATACCCCAACACACTCACACACATATACACACCAACAATCCCATAAGAAGACAGACAAACACAGGAAGTCCTAAGTGTTGTGCTTAGAAGTGCCAAAAACAGATGCAGTTTTCAAATCCTTTCGTGTTACCAGAAGACCAACTGCAATTTAAGAAATGCTTTTAATATGCACATTTTTAAAAACAACATTATTTTGCCTCATATTTAATCATATGCTTAGTTTACCTCAAGGAGATAATTACCTCTTTCCAGAACTTTCTGGACTTTGATGTGATTTGCACAGAACCCACTATATAATTTGAAGTGATCAGCATAATAGAGGAAAGAGCCTCCCAAAGAGAAGAGCAGTTTCTGAAACGAAGAAGGTGAGAAACTTATTTTAGGGATGCTCATTACCTTTTCCTTTATCTTGTGATTAAGCAAAGACTAACAATACTCTTCAAAGGAGTGATTCATTAATTTCTTAATATTAAATTTTCAATGTGCAGACTAACCATGACAACCAAGCAAGAAACCATTCAAAAGATCTTCAGATGTCCAGATCTTCAGGAGGGAGGTAATCACAGAGCAGTTTCAGTATGCTTGTGTAGGAGAAAGAGAGTTAAGACAGCTCCTCCCTAGGAGTTCCCAGAGTGTATTTTTTTATACAGGTAGTCCTCAACTTACGACCACAACTGGGCCCAAAATTTCTGCTGCTAAGTGAGACAATTGTTGAAAGAATTTTGCTCCATTTCATGACCTTTCTTGCCACGATTGTTAAGTGAAACACTGCAGGTGTTAAAGTTTGTAACACGGTTGTTAAGTGATTCTGCTTTCCCCCATTGTCTTTGCTTTTCAGAAGGTTGCAAAAGATGATCATGAACTCGGGATACTGCAACCGTCATAAATATGAGTCAGTTGCCAAGGATCTGAATTTTGGTCATGTGACCATGGGGATGTTGCAATGATTGTTAGTGTGAAAAGTGGTCATAAGTCACTTTTTTCAGTGCCTTTCAGTGCCTCTGAACGATTACTGAATGAACTGTTGTAAATCAAAGGATTACCTACACTAGAATAAAGAAAACTACTTTCTTTCTTGGTTTTTGGATGCTGACAGCTGAGTAACAGTAAACAAAACTATATGAAAGCCATTGTAATAAAGAAGCATTATGATTATACATAGTTTTCCTCTGTTTTATATTTTACTTCTACCTTTGCCCTGTTTTGCATTCTTGAAGAGTTTTTCATTAAAAAAAACTTTCGTAATTCTGATTGATTGTAACTTGTGTTATGATATAATTGTCTTTGCTATTTATGAGTATGAATATATCTTGTCTTTCTAGTGGTTTCAAATCAGTGATATGTAACAAACACAAATCAACAGAACAAATTAGATAATGAATATAAGATTTGCATGAACTAAAGCCAACAAATGTGCTGGAAAGTGATTCACTGAAAACATGAATCATTTCAATTATGCCCCTCTATGATGAAAATTTCTTCCCCTGAATGCAGTGCTTGTTTACCACAGGTGCTCAATTCATTGCTAGAATTGGATTAAGAAAGAAGCTATGAAAACAGATGGCAAAACTTGTCATAGACTGAAAAAAGAACTGACGTTAAGCTAAATGCTTTTAAAAAGTGATAGAATATTCTGAATAAAGTTATTTTATTTTTCTAGAAATAAACAATTATTTTTAATTGTATTATGTTACCATTCACGCTTTTAACAATTAACTACACAAAACTCTTGTAATAAATGCAAGAAAGAGAGAGAGCAATAGGAATGACAGAAATTAATCCTATCCAGCAAGAAAGTTTAGTAAGAGATCACAAATTTAAAATAGTTTATCAGTCGAGGTTCAGATATAAATAGTAGACATTATAGTGGTTATAGAACAAAGTAAAATGTCCTATTAACATTATTAGGATTCATCCAGAATACCACAACAGTTTAGGTTTGATGTGCAATGTGCACATGCACGCTTGATTTATGCATCTGAAAGTAATTTAGGAACTTCCATAGTGACTACCCAGCCTAATGCTGGGCAAGATTGAGAGTAAAAGAAGAATGGGATGATAGAGAATGAGGTGGCTGGATGGAGTCACCGAAGCAGTAAGCGTGAGCTTAAATGGACTCCAGAGGATGGTAGAGGACAAGTAGGCCTAGAGGAATGTTGTCCATGAAGTCACAATGGGTCAGACTGACAATAGTGACTACAAGTAGACCTCATTTAGCAACACAACTGAGGCCAACAATTCCGTAATTAAGTTAAATATGCTTATGATCTTATTTTGCTTTACAGCCCTGCACAGGTTGTAAATGCAAGGATTTGTCCTAAAGTGGTTTTTTCCCCCTTCATTATCCTAGTAACTGCAAATGGTTGCTAAATGCGGCACTAAAGACTTTAAATTTCCTTGATTCTCCTTCATTGCTTTTTTTGTCCTCAGAAAAGATCTGCAGATGTTTCCGTGAAATATGAGGGGCTTTAGGGACAGAGATTTCTAAAATGTTAGAGATAAACACAGGGATTCATTTATTTGATATAAACTCTTTTCCACTCATGCTGCTATAGTGTGATTGTACAAGCTAATTGACTCAGCTAGTCACTTCTGGGATTCTCAAACTGTTCACCTGACCTCAGCAGGTTGGAAAAGATATTTCAAAATCTATTCCGTAAAGGGGAGGGAGGAATCTTCTTATAGAACATAAGTGAATTTTAGTTTTTATGCATAAAAAATTATGACTGGAGAAAATATAGAAAAAAAGGAAATCAAAGAGAATAGTTATCATATTAGAAAACGTAATAAATTGTATTTACCCGAAACTGAGAAGGGGTTTCAAGTGTGCTGAAATCACAGCAGGAAGAAATTCCATCTTCAAGGGTCTCTAAAAATACCTTTTGGAAATCCAGCATCTCTGGCAAGCTGCCAAATAAAGACTCCATCTGTGTGGAAGCGGGGGGGGGGGAAATAAACATTGAGAAGATGAGACTGACCAAGGAAAGAATACCTAACGTTTAATTGTGTTAAGCTAGAGATAAACAAAGTGGTACACTGCATTAATAATTTCAGAGGAACAAGATAATTTCTGAAACGAAGGACTTCTTTGAAACATTTTTGATAGGGACGTTGGTCAACTTTGATCATCAAGGCACAGCTAACTCAAAAGAAAAGAAAATGCTCTTAAAATGTCTGATATAGTTGAAATGCTCATAACCTCCATAAGATTAGAGAGCAGTTAAAATAACCACAGAAACATCTCACCTCGTCTTGAGTAAGGAAAGTTTCATTCTGAAGAGGTTCCAAGTATAATTGAAAGAGGCAGCTCAGATCCTAGAGGAACATCAAACATTATTTAGATTTACATAGTTTTAAAATCAACTCTCTTCTTAACATGTGAGGGCACAAGGCAATTGTTATGAGATAATGCTTTTTTACTTAGGTCACTGTAACATTTCTAAGGGGAAAAACCCTGTTTATTGAGTATTTAATTATTATATGCTGTTTTAACTGTCAAAACAATGAGCATATTATAAAATACTTACTTATGCATTCATCTATGTCTATAAGTATGATATTAGGCAGCATTCCCAGAAGGGAAATTTCTTAGAAATCCTTAACAAAATAGACCAAAGCTAAGAATGTGGCTATATCAGATCTGGTGATCTATTCTCCACTTTCATTATGCTTCTGCCCTCAATCTCTCCCTCATATCTTGTTTGCACAGATAGTCCCCAACTTTTGACCGTAATTGAATCTAAAATCTCTGTTGCTAAGCATGACAGCTGTTAAGTAAGTTTTGTCCCCATTTTATGACCTTTCTTGTCACAGTTGTTAAGTGAATCCCTGCAATGGTTAAGTTAGTAACAGGGTTGTTAAGTGAATCTGGCTTCCCCATTTATTTTGATTGTCGGGAGGTGGCAAAAGGTGGATCACATGACTCCAGGAAACTGCAATAAATATGAGTCAGTTGCCAAGCATCCAAATTTTGATCATGTGATCACAGGGGATGCTGCGATGATCATAAGTGTGAAAAGCAGTCATAAGTCCCTTTTTTTGGTGCCATTGTAACTTGGAATAATCACTAAACAAATAACTATTGAGGGCCACCCTTATGTAATTCAAGCTTCCTCAGTTTGGTGCCCTCCGAATTTGTAGAACTGTAACTTGTATCATCACTAAGCAATACATTTGAAAGAGGATTATATAACACTATGGAAATGCGTCTGTGGCTACTATTTTCTTTTCTCAAAACTCTGGTGATATACAGAAAGCAAACACAAAAATAATGGAGGAAGATTAACAGAGACAAAGGAACAGTTAAGCATGCCTAATACCTTTACGTAAGATTTCTCTGTGTCTACAAGTTCTTGAATGACCTTCCGGAGTCTGTCTGCATCAGTAAGTTGTTTTGCCAATGGCTTTTGAAGGGAAATATCTTTTATTCCTTCCATCCCATTCACCTGAGTTTCATGGAAATGTGGACACAATGTTGTGATATCTCTAGTGCTCTGCAGATTGAAAAGAGCACAGTTTATTGTATTTTTCTTACAATGGGCTCCTCTTCTGATGGTTCAGTTGTGGATAGATTTACAGGATTGAAGCTGAAATCTATAATAGTACATATATTCTAATTTGTTACCTAGGTTCTTCATTCCAAAAAAATAGATACATATATGCCTATTCTTTTCTTCCATTTAAGTGAATTCAATTCTTTGAAATGGCCTGGATAAGTGCCTGCGGGTTTTTTTCAGAAGGTTTTTCAGAAGTGGTTTGCCACTGCCTCCTTCCTAGGGCTGAGAGAAGGCCACCCAAATTGTTTTGTGGTTAAGGTGGGACTCCCAGTCTCCAACCTGATGCCTATACAAAAATTTATACAAACATTTTATACATATACACCAGAGATGGTATTCAGCAGGTTCTGACCAGTTCTGGAGACACGGTAGTGGAAATTTTGAGTAGTTCGGAGAACCGGTAAATACCTCTGACTGGCCCCTACCCCATCTATTCTCTACCTCCCGAGTCCCAGGTGATCAGGAGGAAATGGGGATTTTACAGTATCCTTCTTGTGGAGTGGGGTGCGAATGGAGATTTTATAGTATCCTTCCCTTGCCACGCCCACCAAGCTACACACCACACCACACCCACCAAGCCACTTCCACAGAACCGGTAGTAAAAAAAATTGAATCCCACCACTAATATACACACTTTATATGTACATATGAAAGAGAAAGAGAGAGAACACACAATACTGAAGATGGTAGCTTGTTTTTTTTAGTGACTCATTAATTTATTTTAAGAATACTTATAATGTATTTCTGAAAGACTGCAGAGTCTATCCTGCCTTAGTATCAATGGCTCAGTTTTTTTATTTGAATTTCTAGCAGTTGATTCAGAAGAAAATTACCTGGGTTACCAGTTGAGACATTAAAGAAGCCATTGGTTTGACAGTTTTGCATGGACAGTACTGTTTGAATAGGCCTTTGGACTAATATATTACTAGAAAGGGCAGAGGGAAAGCACCTTTGATACAAAGGGTCAATATAAAACCAGGCAAATTCTTAGAAAACCCACACCTCATTCAATGTAATAAATAGGTAATCGTCACCTTAATGACAATCATCTAGACAATCATCTACCTCTTTAAAATCATTAAACTGAAACCAATATCTGTGGAACAGTTTTTCTAATTAAAAGCCATCTTTCATTTTACATTCATAATGTAACATGAACGAGATTTCTGCCAAATGGCTCCATAATGCAGAATGGGAAAGGATTTAGGATTTAATAAAAGCTAAAACTAAAGGCAGCCCATTTATAAAGTGATACTCATTACTGTAGTGCTTTAAAAAGTAACAGAATAAAAAAAAATAGCCCAATAGAAAGCATGAAAACTAGATGCTATCACTGAAGATATCGGCAGAACAATCTCTTAAGTGCTCAAAACACCCCATTGAGTGACTACTGCAGTGATCACTTGTGGATTCATAGATGCAGTTTATAACTGTTCACATATGTACCTTCCTCTCTCTATATTCCTCTTCTTACTTTGACTTTGAATTTTGCTATACAATGTTTGAAATTCCCCTGGAAGAAAATGGCAGAGGCTTCTTGCTTTGTTCTTTTTCCCAAAGCTGAATTCTCAACTCTGGTTTTGCTTTCTTTGAAGCCAGACAAGGTAATGTGACCCCAAAATCTTCTTCCAACTTAAGTAAAAATTACCCAGTAGAATCAAGGGGTCTGAGACCTCATGGCAGAATGTCAGTTTAAGCCAGTAAATGATTTTGTTTTTTCACATATGTGCTGCTACTGAAATAGATCTTGCCTCCAAGCACTGGGAACACAATGACAGATCCCAAAGATAGCAACCTGAATTGTCTCCAGGATGGAGAAGTTCTTGGAAATGCACCATATAATAGCTTGACAATTGCCTTGCCTTAGGAGGCCTTAATCAGAGAGCGAGTGTACAAATTTATGTTGGAGAAGAAAAGGTTGGGAATTGTAGACCCAGATCTCTGATTTTTCAGTCCAAGTCCTCCAGGAGCCTGAAGACTGGAAAACAACATCCAATATCTATACATCTGAATCTATTTTATGTTCACCAATACACAACTATGCTTTTGTTAAACATTTATAGAAAAGCATGATTTTTGTCTTACAACAACTGACCCGAAGACACAAATGGCTCTTCTCAGAGCTTACCTGTTGACCATTGGAAGAATAAAGCTGGGGTCAAAGAACAATTGGGCCGACCAATTAATGCAGAATTTAAACAGGAAGGGAATTAATATGTAGCTTTGATTTATCCCTTGGTTTGAAGAAACTGTGCATTGTACACTGAATCCTCAGATAAGTATTTTCATATAGAAGCTGGATTTTATTCTCTGAATAATATTATTCCCTGAATAAAGAATGCCCTACTTTCTCCATAAGTTATCCCTTGGAATTGAAAGTGTGATTTGAAATTGATGAAAGCAACATAAAGGATACTTCAAGGTATACTTCTCAGCTAGATGTTCTAAAATTAAGCACTACTCAACTGTAAAATAACGAATCCTAAATCTAACCTACTTTCCCATGTCTTCCAACAGAGATCCCTTCTGTAAAGCTTACATGTTATACTAAGCAGGCTGTTATAGGTCCATCGTTTCACAGGTATGCCTTAACTTTTTTATATATATAGTGAAATAATCACCAGGAGTCTTTAGAGATTAAGCAGTGCACGTAAAGAGCACTGTGAAAACCAAATCCAACCAATCAATGTTATTTTTTATCATCTCCAGAAGCATCCCCTAAATTGAAATGGAAATATTGCAAGACAGCAATTACTTTTATATATCTAATCCCTCAGCAAGGTCTCTAACTAAGAAACCTTGTTAAAATTATAGTACAAACAAAGCCATAAGATCAGGTAATATTACATAAAGCACTTGGTGCCCTGAAGAGACCCAAAGCAATTTTCAGTGACACTGACACACTGTTAAGTGACTTGAATGCTAAAGCGTAATGTGTTTTTTTAAAAAAATGACACCATTCCAGAAAGCAGAACGGCAGACATTTTACGCTATTTATAAAATTATAAGGTAAAGGTTCCCCTTGCACATATGTGCTAGTCATTCCCAACTCTAGGGGTCAGTGCTGATCTCCGTTTTAAAGCCGAAGAGCCAGGGCTGTCCAAAGACGTTTCCGTTGTCATGTGGCCGGCCTGACTAAACGCTGAAGGCGCATGGAACGCTGTTACCTTCCCACCAAAGGTGGTTCCTATTTTTTCTACTTGCATTTTTTACATGCTTTCAAACTGCTAGGTTGGCAGAAGCTGGGACACGTAACAGGAGCTCACTCCGTTACGTGGCACTAGGGATTCGAACCGCCAAACTGCCGACCTTTCTGATCGACAAGCCCAGCATCTTAGCTACTGAGTCACCGCGTGCCTCTATAAAATTATAGTATGTATAAAATTATACATGACCTTTATTTATCCTAGTTATAATTGCATCAGTAGAAAATTGTATCCAAACTGATAACAACTTCATGCTGGAAAGGGCGTTCCCTTATATTTTGCTGGGTTTTGTCCAAATGTTTCTGTACAAAATTATTCTTAAAATAGTAGATAATTAGAGATGTTTGGAAATTTTTAGAGAAGTCTTTCTGAACTTCATGCCCTTCACATGTATTAGACTTTCCAGTGAGCAATTAAGGGACTATATCTAACACATCTGTTGAAAATCAGTTTGAAGAAATAACTCCACATTTGGATATGTGTCTCTGAACATTACATTAAGTGATGAAGGAACAAATGCATGGCATTATTTATATAAAATATGTAACTCTAAATCTTCTCTTAGGCACTGTAAAAAAATAATCTCAGTCCAAATGATCAGTTGGACAGTCCAGGCAGCATAAATAATATAGAAAATCATTGTGTTTTAATTGCTGAAACTTTCCTATATAGGGTGATTTAACTCTTCAACTCAGCAAAAGGCAATCTCCAAGGGCAGGGTAAGCAGTAACAAGAAAATAAACATCCTGCTTCTTTGCTGTAAGTTACTGTAGACTGATTTACAGTAATAACATGTTAATTCTTCAAAATTCTTCAAAACCAGAGCTTTCCATGAGGGTAGAAGCATGGTGTTTTTCAAGGAAGTCAGTTCACAGATTCTGCTATAAATTACCAAATGTGTAGTAACAAGAAGTACATGCATCGGAAAACCAGTCCAAATACAAAAAAGAAAAAAACTATTCAATTAAATTAGTTGGCATTCATACTTGTATACAGAATTCAACGATCCTTAATTAAAGCAACCCGCCTTCTTATTTCCGTTTGGTACACTAAAAAAGAAAAAGGAATGCAAGATATATAGCTCTCTCAAGAGATCTTTAAAAAAAGACTCCCACACCATTATACCATGACTGAAAAAGGCTGCTTAGCTCTCAAGTCAATAATATTTCCCTCCTTATTTCTGGTTCCGCATTGGAGGGAAAATGAAATTTAACAGATTTAATGACTTCATGAATTGCAAGATGGCCCATATGGCAGCTGGCACAAACTCTTAATTAGCAAAATCAAAGCATGGTTAACCATTTGTTTTAAATATTTCAACCATCATATCTGCTCCTGTAACTTCCCACATTTGTAAAATTAGAGGAAAAATACTGGTTGTGTTAATCAAGAGAAATTCTCATCAATTAGACCTAAGATAAATAGCTTGAAATGTGCTACGTAAATTAAATGTGTAATAATTAATTGTGATAGGTTAGGTCTTGGTTTAACTTTTAATGGTTCCTAAGTGTGATTTATGTTTGTTTGTTTGATTTCTATAGCAAATGATTCTGGGAAATTCAAAAACATATATTACAATTAAAATCTTAAAAACATTTTAAAATAATAAAAACAGTAAAATTCATTAATACAGTGAAAATATGAAAACATCTAATTTAAGTAAACACAGAGCAAGACATCTGGCCTCTTAACAATATAGCCAGGAGGCAGGATCCTTGGGGCAGCTTCAGG